AGAGACCTGGCCAAACAGGCCATGATTGATGGAGAAGGATTCAGGCAGAGGCTGACAGAACTGGAGAGAGAGCTGGAGGAAGCCCAGAAAGACAAAAAGGATATTTTTGAAGGTTATTTGGGGGAGGTGGGAGGGACTGCTCCCCTGGTCGTTGCTTGCAGAAACCGATACTCTCCTTGTCCCAGAAATGGGACTGGCAGTGGGATGGAAAATGCCTTAATATCTTTGTCTTTCATTCGTCTGGGCCAGGGGTCTGCAACAGTGGTGGAAATCAAAAAAAATTACTACCGGTTCTGTGGGCGTGGCTTGATGGGTGTGGCAGGGGAAGGATACTGCAAAATCCCATTCCCTCTCCACCCCACTAACCTGCTTTCCAGCCCCGTTCTCCTGTGCAGGGCAACCAAAGGAGACCCAGCCAATCAGCTGGGGCTTGGGAGGCAGAGAATAGATGGGGGCATGGCCAGTCAGAGGTGGGATTTGCCGGTTCTCCGAACTACTCAACATTTCTGCTACCGGTGGTTCTCCAGAACTGGTCAGAACCAGCTGAATACCACCTCTGGTCTGCAACCTTAAACACTCCAAGAATCATTTGGCCCCGTTTCCCACAGAAAACACCAGGAGCCACAAAACCTGGATGGGTGTGGCCAACTCAACGTCACTCCCACCCAATGTCACATGACCCACTACCAACACGCCTACCCAGGTTTTGTGGCTCCTAGTGTTTTCTGTGAGAAATGGGTCTCTCTCCCTCTCTCCTTCTCCCTTTCTCACTCCCTTTCTCTCTCCCTCTCTCTCTCTCTCCCTCCCTCCCATTTCTGTTTTTTGTGTTTTACCTTTTCAGGCCAGGCGAGGAGTGACTGGGAGGGGAGGGCGAGAGGCGGGGTCAGCCAGTGGTGGGATCACCCAACAGGGAGCCACAGCAGAAGGCCCAAAGAGCCGCATGTGGCTCCAGAGCCGCAGATTGCTGACGCCCTTCTGGGGGATCCACTTGAGGTCAAAATGTTTAGCAAAACTCTCCTAAGATCAATATCAAGGAATCTGTGAACATTTTTCAGAGTCTCAGAGTGACCTTTCTAAGGCATTGTTCAGTATCAGTAACATTCTTTAATGTTGCACAGACCTGGGATTTGATCATTATTAGGAAGAGGGCCATAACCCATTCTCCACAGCCTAGCTGTCTATGTGCATCTTTTCCATTTGTACCCTCTTTAACTTTTAGTTTAGGGTGGCGTTTCTCAACCGTGGCATCTTTAAGGTGGGTGGACTTCAACTCCCAGAATCCCCCAGTCAGCATGCTTTAAGAGGATTGGACTTCAACTCCCAGAATTACCCAGGAAACATGCTTTAAGATGGGCGAACTTCAACTCCCAGAATCCCCCAGCCAGCAATTCTGGGAGTTGAAATCCACCCATCTTAAAGTTGCTGGGATTGAAAAACACTGGTTGTGTTCAGTTATATGCCCTGCTATATTTCTGTCAATAGATATCAATCGCTATTCTGTCCATCCATCTCATGTTCTCGGGGCCAGCCGGTCGGTTCAACTAACGGTTCGGCGAACCAGATGTAAATTTAACATCCGATTCGCCCAAACCGGTCCAAACTGGCTGAATCCCACCCCAGGACTTGCCCATTTACCTTACTGTACACTCAAGAGTCACGCTTGGGAGCTACAGAAGTAGCATCTAGGAATCATCTATGGGTAACTAAGGGTTTTTCATCTTCCCCCTGACCCCACTTCTGTTCCTTCTCTCCGTTGCAGAGATGATCCGCCAGTATCAGCAGCTCCAGTGCCAGACTGACGGCCAGATTCAGCGTCTGGAAGCTGAAAAGCAGAACCTGCAAGAAGAGCTGGGTATTTACCCAAACGTTTGGCCTGACAGAAGGTTACTCAGATGGGTTGTGGCCATTCAAGGCCGCTGTTTAAGGAAACTAAAAAAAAATAGCTCTATCTACTTCCTTGCATCTTTTAAACCGGGAGACTCCAACCTTGGCAACTTTAAACCTGGGGGATTTCAACTCCCAGAATTCCCCAACCAGCTTGGCTTAAAGTTATTGGCTACAGAATTCTGGAAGTTGAAGTCTGCCAGGCTTAAAGTTGCCAAAGTTGGAGACCCCTGGTTTAACAGATGCTCCATCATCATCATCATCATTTAATCTTTGGTGAGATTCACAGCCTTTGGGGCTGGTTGGTAGCTCAACAGCTAATCAAGGACCTAGGAACTGTTCAGGTAGCATAAGAAGATATAAGCTGTTCCAAGTAGGGTGGTTTTTTTGTAGAATCAGGGTATTCAAGTCTGATAAATTCAGAATTTCCAAATAGCGAGGTAGCCCTTTAGGAGTTGCTCCAAGGGCTCCAGTTACAGTTGGGATAACACACGATTTCTTTTTCTAAAGTCGCTCAACTTCAATTTGTAAGTCCCGATACTTTGTGATTTTTTTCTCAAAGTTGTTACTATTATTATTTTTATTTATTATTATTTTTATTATGTTTGTTTATTATGTTTATTATGTTTATTATGTTTGTTTATTATGTTTATTTATTATTATTATTATTATTATTATTATTATTATTATTATTATTATTATTATTATTATTATTATTATTATT